CCAAGTAAAGAAATTTGTATTTGGTGTCCTGCAATTTCCGTGTGTGTTACCATAGGAAACCACGAATCACGATGTTTAAACAGAACTGAATTATGAATGGATTCAAAGACATCGTCAGCAGTAGACGACAAATGTAAGGAGTGAGTTGCTCCAGTTAAGTTATAATTAGAAATTAACAATATTGCATCGATCGTCACGCATAATACAGGTTGTCCTACAACTGTACAAGCAATACTACCGTTTTCTGTATTTCCCCAGTAAACACTTATCACAAGTTATTTAAATCATTTTACTTGTCTTTGAAAACACAGAAATATGCGATGTTTCCACGCATATGGCTTGTTTACCTCAACACAGTATTGGAGACAGACATTTAAACAGCAGCGAAATCGTATAACTATGAAGTAGCGGGTGACGTCATTATTTCAAATCAGCGCGCGACATCGGCAGCATGAAGGAGCTGTACCTCCCGTAACACAAGCAAAACGCGAAACTAGTTAGCTACATTAGCAGCTACAGCTACAACCACCCAAACGTCTTACTGTGCCGCAAATGCCTCCTAATGTCAGTAACTCGAAAGTTGTTTCCCCAAACGGTATTTCTCTGCGTCGCTTTTAACCGTAATTAAATCCAAAGACTGTAATCTCTGCGGCCCACAGCAGCTTGTCGGAATAATGGCGGCGCCTCCCCACCCTTTTGAATTCACTCGCTCCGCGCGCCGCGTCCTGATTGGAGGGCAGCAAACAAGGCCGCCCGCGAGACGCTGTCTCCACTCTACCCTCGCCTGCCGGCAGACATCTGCGTTACAAATATAACGTAATACAATTACCGCAACTTGTGCGTAGGTTGTTTTAAACGGTACATTAACCCCAATTGGACCTGTATCTCGAAGCCGGATTTCTGGCTAGCTAGATAGCTTGTCGAATTTTTGGTAGTTTGGGCTAAATCATATGTAAATTAGACGAAGATAAAGTGCCTCAAATCCGAATAACCAAGAAATCCTGCTTTGCGATACAGCCTCAGAACGGTATCATAAGTCAGTACCGGCTTACATTAAAGTGAATAAACCCTGAGCACAAATGACCAATTCAATTCAACGTCCACTCGTCCATCCGCCCATTCATGTGTTACATTTTTATGTCTGGAATGTCCTCAGGCTCGGTTTTATATAGTGCTGTAGGACTTGGACTTCATTTTCTTCAAATCTATAAAATAAAAAAAATCTATAAAATAAGTCATAAATATTTCTTTGACTGTTAACGCATGCAGTTGTTTTTAATATTACTCCTTCCTACTTGCAAACAACGCGAGAGCTTCTGTCGTGACGTTACAGAGAATCCCCAGAATTCACAGTGAAAATCAAAACACAAGGTCGCCTCTAGATGAAGCTGATGGAGAGGAAAGGCGAGAAAACTCAGTTGATTTCATTTTAAAAATATACCGTCAGAATCAGGTGATCGATATAATGCGATTGCCAATATCCGTTTTAATTTATTGAAGGTAGAACACAATATAATTCAAGTGATAATTTACATAATATATTAAAGTGATTCCTTTTTGTTTAAAATTCCCTTGGGATTCTCTTCAAACTGATTCAGAATATGGGAAAAGCGGCTTACTTAATGGAATGCAAACAAAACTAATTTTAATAAATCATATACAACTTTTTGTGGTAGCTGGGAGTACAATTAGAAAACGCAGACAGTAATGTTTGTGGCTGGGATTTTCTCATTACCTCGCTGCTCATTTCATGAGTGAAGTATCCCGCTAAGACGAGAATCAGCCTTATGATATCAAAAAGCCAGCGTAACCGCTACTTATCTTCAAAATTACACGGTGTATTAGGACGGATTTCCGGACAACTACGGTGCCTAGAATTAATCATTGTCCTGTTACTGTCATACATATGAGGTGATTGAAGTGTGGATTAATTCTGATCGTGTGTGGACTTAATCATCCTGAGATTCAAATACGTCGTCCATGATTCACCTATAATATTATTGTATTAAGGGTAAAAAAACTGCATAGCATGGTCCCCCCCCCCCTTTTTTTCCTTTTCTCTTTCTGGTGACTTATATATTTTGCTTTTCACAAAATACTGGTTTCAGGGTATCCTTATCTTCTGCAAAAGAATCCTTGTTTTGGAATGCTTACTGTATCCAAGGACGCTTAATTTCAAGGTGTCCCTGGGTTCACCCAGTATGGTTTGCACACCATTGGTCGGTTTACGAGACATCTGCCTTGTCCTCTCTTTTGAAGAGTCTTCGGAAGAGAAGAGAAAGCTCTGCTCATTCCTATCTCTGGTTGAAGCTGTGCCTAGCGGCAGGAAGAAGGGAAAGCATTGCCCAAGGATACTTGTCTATCTTTGATTGAAACCGCACCTAGTGGTCAGTGTGTGTAGGACGCTCACCCCATCCTCAGGAGGAGGGGGGACGCATTGATTATAGAAACTTGTCTTATCACTTCTGATTGAAACTGAAAACTGTTCGTGCACTATATTTAGTTGTCTGCAATGTGCCGTCTTTTTTTACACTATTTGTATGTTCATCTGTGCTTTATGTGTCTTGCTGCTGTATGCACAGGAGCTTCCCCCTAGGATCAATAAAGCTTATGGTCCCTGTTGTCTAGCTAGATGAACAGCTCATTAGTCCTGGTTACCCTGACACTGGTGTACCTGTACTCTAGGGTTTAGTGCATGTGTATGCGTGACACTGCCTCTCTGCTTCACACTTTGAACAGGATCTGCAGCAGCTGCAGAAGCAGCCAGTAGCACTGGAGTTTGAAGCAGCCGCACAACCGCTGGAGGGGTCTGGGAAGGTTCTGGGTGCTTTTTCCCTGGAGTAAGACTAAATGTAAATGGATAGCATCTCCCTGGACAGGGTGCAAGGCCTCCAACCCCCCAGGGATTTGAAATTGTATAAATCTACAAATGAAAAATTGCATAATCATTTAACAAAGTAAATGCTTTTCCCTTGACACTAGTGTATAGGACTTCCACCATTTAATTCCTTCTGAAGTTAAATTTTGGTATGTTTGTCTGTGTTACTTAACCCTTTTAGTTAAAAGCAAATCAATTACGAGATAGAAAGTCATAATTACGAGAGACAAAGTCATAATTACGAGATAGAAAGTCATAATTACGAGATAGGAAGTACGCATGCGCTCCAGTCCAGCTGAAGAGCTGTCTTCGCCTCATTGGCGTCAATCTCGTAATTATGACTATCTCGTAATTATGACTTTGTATCTCATAATTTCGACTTTCTATCTCGTAATTATGACTTTCTATCTCATAATTTCGACTTTCTATCTCGTAATTATGACTTTGTATCTCATAATTTCGGCTTTTTATCTCGTAATTATGACTTTGTATCTCATAATTTCGATTTTTAATCTCGTAATTATGACTTTGTATCTCATAATTTCGGCTTTTTATCTCGTAATT